TTTTCATCTATGAGCTTGTCATAGTCGAAACCCCTTATACGGTCCTCCAAATTTCTAATTGCTTTCTGAACTCGCTTTGCTTCTGTCTCCTTCTCACGGATTTTCTTTTCATCATCCAGGTTACGTTTCCTTTGCTACAGAGGAAGGAGATGGAGAAACTTTGAAAAATCACAATAGTATGCATAAATAAGGATAATATTACCCCTAATTAATTACCCCTAATCTAATATCCAGTCCCCTCACTTCCCCAAATAAGCAGAAGTAGAAGATGAAACATTAAAGATAATCATCATAATAAAATAAAAATCAAGAGCTAAAACCTGAAAAACATCCCTTCAATACCTTCTGATTGGCAAGCTGCTTCTCAATGTCACGATTTTGTTCATCAACTGTCTTCTTTTGTGCATCTAGGGATGAGGCAGCCTCCTGGAGAGTAGAAACCTTCTCACGAATTTCCTGCAGTTGGCTCTCTTCCTTTCTTGAAATGTAAACACTGATATTCATGTGTAAATCCTTTGCCCTCCTGTGTGTCTCGAGGATTGTGCTCACCTATGGACCAAATGAAGAAGTTAAGAGCTTTTAAAGTACAGCTTGAGATTAAATGTATGGTAAGATTTTCCCTTAAAGGAGACCCAGTTCTTATATATGATAGCAACTATAAAATCACTTTATCAAACGTGATATAAAAAAAATAACAAAACTGACAGTGTTAATCATCTATCAGACACTGTAAAAGTAAGATAATTAATGCATAAGATAAGGAAGCATGCATTTGAGTTGTACTGGAGATGAATAGTCTACGAATAGGGCATCAATTTTCTATCAACTGACTCTACCTGGAAAAAGACAAGAACATAACATAAAAATCAGGAAAAAGACAAAATAAAGTAAAAATCAATCATCCACAACATTAAATAACATGCCTTATTATTTTGGGTGTCAATCCAAGAGTCTTTTTCTTCCATGAGCTTTGTCTTCTCAGAAGTTTTGGTTGTTATCTGGAACTTAAAGGGTGCTATATCCACTTGAGCCTTTTCTATGTCCTCTGTGAGTTTGTTGCGTTCCTCCTCTAGTTTAGAAATGTCTTCCTTCAGTTTCTCAGTTTCCTGAAGCTTGGTCTTCAACTAAAATGACAATAACATCCAATGAGTTTACAATCATTGAATGGCATCAAAAAACTTTCAAAACTATTAATTCCAGAATACAAGGCACATATTCAAAATAGCAACACTAAAGTTTGTTTGCTAACCTCAAGTTCCTGGGTGGAAAGTCTCAATTTGCGGTCTTTAAGTCCTTGAAGACGATCCTTGTGTTCCTGAAGCTGTTCTTGCAGTTCTTCAACTTTGGCCTGCAACTTGCGAAGTTTATCTTCCAGTTCACTCTGTCGAGTCACTGCTTCTTCCATGGTCATTCCTCCATCTGTGAAATTCATCCCATAAGAGGCAACAACAATGCCAAGAGAAACACCATACAATAACATACTTATGAGTGACATCTCTCATAAAAGTGTTTCCAGGGTACATATAATACAGGCAGCATCACTTCCACTGAACAAAAGAGAGATATTATTTTTTTGCTAAGCATGGCTGGTAATCATAAGAAACTTTTCCTTATCATAAAAAAGGAGAATTTTGGTATTATTTTTGGTAGTTGACAAAATCAAGTAAATATAAATGATTATGTATATAGCTATATCTTATATATCATTGTGTACACACTTTGGCTGAACACAATGATGTCATTAGCTCAACTCCTTTTTTGACCCAGTCAGTCTGTGCGATATTTTGTGGTAAGTGTTTTTTCAGTACATTCTCTTTGAAAATGATTCTGTAATAAGTTTTTAAAAAAATATTTAAAAAAATAAAAAAAATAATTAAAACTATAGTAATTAATATCTGCAACGAACAAAAGCAAAAAGGCCATTTAATATATTCTTCATCAAGACAGAGTGGTGCTACTTATATTAAAGCACCTTGGTGCTACCTATACCTGAGCTTCCCAAAGTTGCCTGGAGATCATCAATTTGAATCTTGAGCTGTTTAACCTTCCTCAGATTGTTTTCAATTGTGATCACATCTGGCTGGATCTGTCGAGCCATCTCCTCATCTCCCTGTGTCATGTCCAGCATTTCTTTCTGGGATTCCAGTTCTGAATCTACTTTAGCCAATTCCTTCATCTCCTCTTCAATCTGGGCTCTGGGGAAGGCTGGTATATTAATGAAGTACCATTGTAATGTAATAATGCTGGAAGTCTTATTCTGTGAAATCAAGGATTATTCATAATTTTATTTTTTTGAAAAATGGGTGATTAAACAAGTAAAGTCATCTTCTCTTTAAATTCATAACAACCTCAAAAGCAAATTCTCAGTACAATATATGTTTCCAGATAAAATCAACCAATAAGCTTTTGCAACCTTTGGTTTCCTTTTTGGCATGCTTCTTTCCTTCACTAATACCCTTACATATCAAATTTAAATGTATTTGCAGAGACATGAAAACAATGCTAAGAACTATGCTAACCAGAACATACCTGATCTTGTCTAATTCCACCTTGGCACTGTTTGCCAGGTTTCTCTGGGGTTTAAGCTGTATTATCTGGTCATGGACCTTCTCTTGTTTATCAAGTTTTACTTTGACCTCTTCTAATTTACCTGGAATACTTATCACCTTTCCTTCAAGCTGAAACAAAAAATATATATATATTTACATATGCAAATAAAAATAATTATTTCAACCCTTTAGAAGTGCAAACACTTAAGCTTATTTCAGCCACATAAAGGCATAATTTTTTATGGTTTACTAAGGCAACTTTTGGTTGCATACATTTCAATAGAAAAACTTTACACATCATTATAAGTCTCAGTAAAGTGAAAAGCTGAAAAAGCTATCACAATTATCTTTCATGTTTCAATGCGGATGACTGCCAATGAATATGGAATTAAAAAACACACATAAATAATCATCAACTAAAACAACAAAATGCATATTTCGATGAATATATAATTATCTAGCCATAAAAATTATAAACAGACAATAATGTACAAGGTATTATCTTTGATATGTAACTGTATGGTAGGTGAGGGGGACTAGGCGGATCTATTCATTACATATTGATCTATCCAATATTACAAGTTTATTCAATCATACAGAGAATCCAGTATTAAATGCTATGTGATTTTTAAATTGCTTAAGAAGAAAGATCTAGGGTTTGGCTGGATGAAATATGCCATACAGCTCCACAGTCATAGGTGTGGTTGAAGGGAACTTACCAAACAGTACAATATAATAATGGACAGTACATACATCTCATTCATAATGAAAAAGGGGGCAGGAAAAATCCCATCAGTTTTTGACAGGGTTTCCATGATCATAGTGAATGAGGCTGTGCAATTTTTTTTTTTTTTTTTTTTTTTTTTTTTCCAATTAGCTACAACTATGGCAAAAAGGTCTTTAAGGATTAAGAATTAAAATTGCAGGACTTTCAACACTGGTAAGACAAGTTTCAGTGGAATTTGTATATTAATGCTAGCACTTTGGTCACGGACCTGTCATAATTAAGTGCCTACAATGAACTAACACTAATTGGATTTCTTGTTTTACGGTGTGTGAAACAAACAGATGTTCTTTTGTTTGGCAAAGCCCTCTGATAAGTTAAAATAACAGTAGAAAATACTGCTCAATATATGTAAGCCAGTCTACAATCTGGGAAGTCTACAATATATGTAAGCCAGTAACATTGACAATTATCATTTCCTTAAAGACTATGTATTAGTCTTATATCAATACTGTATCACCATATACTTGACAGCACAATTGCTGTACATAAAAGAGATGCCCACTATGTCCCAAGCTCAGAAGAGAATACACAACATCAAACAAGCATGGAACACCTTATTTTACAAATCTGTACAACCACACATACCTCCTCAATAAGCTGATTGACTTCATCTTTTGATGGGAAGTCTCTATGACAGAGAGGACAGCAATCTCTCTGACGGAGCTTGGCAGTGAAACGATTTAAGACAGTGATGGAACTGGAGAGATCTCCTCGTTCACGCTGTAAATGTAGAGCACATTTTAAACATAAAACAGCTGTACTGGCTTTAACCCAATGGTGCCAGGTATTACGTGTACGTATGTGCTATGCCCACCGTGAGTACTTGTTTGATTGTTTTTACGCATAGATGGCAACACTTCTACTAAATCACCAATGAGCCAACTACGAGTACCGCCCGTCTCGCCCGTGTACCCGTTTCTTTGATTTACGAAATATTTTACGTTATCTTATTTTGCTGTTACTAATGTTAAAAAACATTATGAAAATTATAATGTTTATGATAAAAATATCACCATCGATTTTCATAGCACTAGTGAAAAATACGTTTTTCCCGCCAGGCGCTAGCAGAGCCATCTATCGGCAGACATTTCACAAAAAACATAGAAAGTGGACACAGCATTTTCCCCATCTTTTGTTTATTTTCCCCGGCGGCATTGGGTTAAATGAGTTGATTCAAAATAAAAAAATAAAAGTTGAATTACAAAAAATAACAAAATTAAATATGAATTATTCAAAGAATCATAATCACAACAACTGAAACAGGAATGATATAAACATTACACAAGAACCAGCAATCAATATCAACTATCAACACTTCACACATTTCCATCAAACCAAATCTGCAACCAACCTTAAAATACAACACATATTTCTGAATCTCAATATCTAGAAATAATCAGCAATCACTGATTTTCATAAAAACAGGTTTTACATCAGCTTTATTTTAAAAAATAATAATAATTTACCTAATACATTGCTGATTAGTAACCTAATAACACCTTACATAATATATGAGTGAAAACTGACCTCAAAACTTGCAGAGCAAGTGATGTAATACTGAACTCATTAACAGCAGAAAAAAATAATACTATGGTAATATATGAAATTAAACTTCAAACAACAACTTTTTCCTTACTGTAAGATTGTCCTTCACTTCCTTTGACTTTTCAAGGGCCTCATCTAGATTCATACCATCGCAAATGTTGTCTATTTTGCTCTCCAGTTCTGGAAGTAAAAGTTTATAAGTACCAAAGGGAATATAATAACTAACAGTAATTTCTCTATGTTCTTAACACAATTATTTCTTCAATTTCATACCACAGTGATTACACATACCATGCTGTTGAGAAATTAAAGAATAGGAACAGAAAGAGAGAATAATTGCAAGGAAATATATGAGGCAGTTGCATAAAAGACTAAGAGCAAGAAAGTAAAAAACTAAAATGAAGTTTAATCTAATGCAGTTTAATTTAACACACTCATTATTATATACAAGTCAAAGCCTAGAGAAATGAAGAGGGGGAGGGATGGGGAAGGGGAAGGGATGGAGGTAAGGCTGCGGATGGGGGTAAGGGATATGGGATGGGGATGGGATTGGAGGAGGAGGAGGAGGAGGAGGAGGAGGAGGAGGAGGAGGAGGAGGAGGAGGAGGAGGAGGAGGAGGAGGAGGAGGAAGAGGAAGAGGAAGAGGAAGAGGAAGAGGAAGAGGAAGAGGAAGAGGAAGAGGAGAAGGAGGAGGAGGAGGAGTCTAAGCCTAGAAAAATGAAGAGGGGGAGGGGATGGGGAAGGGGAAGGGATGGGGGTAAGGCTGGGGATGGGAATAAGGGATAAGGGATAAGGGATAAGAGATAAGGGATATGGGATAAGGGATAGGGATGGGGATAGAACTGGAGAAGGAGGAGGAGGAGGAGGAGGAGGAGGAGGAGGAGGAGGAGGAGGAGGAGGAGGAGGAGGAGGAGGAGGAGGAGGAGGAGGAGGAGGAGGAGGAGTGGTGAGAGGAGTTTTATACATACCTCTGATTTCCTGTTCTTTACGACTCTGTTGTTGTTTCTGTCCTTTTATGCTCATGGACAATTGGGTTCTACGCTTATTCAGTCCTTCAATTTCTTGCCGAAGTTCAGTAACACGCCTTCGCTGATAAAGGAAGTATGGATGCAAAAACAAATTTCATCTGAATTCGTCAGTACTTGCAATCATCTTTTACTATAGAAGATCTCAGCCATAATATAGCCAGCTATCTTACACAAATTAACTAAATACATAAAAGCAATAAAAAGATAATGATAAACATTTTTTTTTTTTTTTTTTTTACTTACAAGACTATCTGCACAAGCATCAACTTTATTCTTAATGTTGTCATCAGGAATAGCTTCCAGGAGATGCTCAAATTCATCAGCATGCTTGCGCTTCCTGAATATAGTAGAAATCATCAAATAACAAAAAAAATGTATTATTATCATCACCCTCACATTACATCACAACCATCCTTACTGATAATAGTAATAATGATGATAATAATAATAATAATAATAATAATAATAATAATAATAATAATAATAATAATAATAATAATAATAATAATAATAATAACAATAATAATAATAATAACAATAATAATAATAATAACAATAATAATAACAATAATAATAACGATGGCAATAATGAGGACAATGACAATGACTATAACACAACTATAATAAATTTCTAAAAATAAATCACTAAAGGTTCATTACACTAGTCAAGACATGTATATTAGATGAATTTCATATTCCAAAGAACCATCCTGTGATAAAGAGGAAGTAATTTGTGAAACTTAGATGAGCAGAACAAGGATGAAGAATTCTCCTGCTTCCCCCCCCCCTCCCCCTCATTAGACATGTCTAGTCTAAGGAAATAATGTAATCAATCTGAGAGATTGGACAGCCAGGGGTAGTTCAAGGATCAAGTCTGAATAGTGGAACCCATGCGTAAAACAATAACTCTACCAACACAGCTACAGATGAGAGGTTACAGGGAGTAGTTCATACTTACAAAAATTCAATTTTATTTTCTAACTCCTTCTTTTCCTTCATATGGATGTCATACTGAGATCGAGCATTAGCCTGGCGGTTCATCTTTGCCACTACCCTTTTGATTTCATCAACTTCATGCTCTCCTTCTCGTTTGTTCTTTTTAGCTGTTTCTATCTCTGCAGTAAGCTGGACAATAAATACAAATTAAACACTGAATGTTTAAAGACATGTTCACTTAATATCTTAATAACTTAATATCTAGGTCATACAGTGAAGTTATGATTTCAATTCTATATTTCACTTCTAATTTTGCAATACAAATTTGTGTATAACTAACAGAGAAGTGCATCTATACCATTACTATCATTTCTATTAGAGAAAAGAATCCATAAGCACAAACATTAATATAAAAAAAATATAGAAAAAAAAAAACTCTTCTCACTAACCTCAGTCAAATTGACTTTTGATTCTTCCTTAGCTATCATTTCTTCTACCTGGGTGAGCTCCACCTTTAGTGAGTCTAAATCCATGTCTGATAAATCACTCTCATTACGCATTAACGTCTGCTTGAGCTGGCGGATCTTCTTGCCTGTTTCATCTAGCTGCTTTCCTTTAGTCTTAATGTCATGGTCCAGGGCAGCTTCAGAGGATCTGTAATTGGTTTGGGTTAAAGTGAAATTTAGTTATAAGAATAATAAAAGCTTACAATATTCAAGTGATACATCTAAACAGTGAAAATGACAATGTTTCTTGGACATTTTGGAGACTAAGAGTTATTCTGAACACCAGACAAATGTTTTTATCTCATATTTTTTAGAGAAATTATTAACACTTCTGCATTTTAGCCTGCTGACTTGAATTTTATCACAAGCATCTTTTTACTACATTGATCTGGTCAATACAACAGATTAATTATTCTAACCCCTGTAATATATTTACAATTTGTAACAGAAATGCCCTTTATACCGAAAAGAATGATGTCATAATACTATGAAGTCATATTTTTTCCATGTTAATAACACATAACAAATTAAAATACACACTTTTAACTTTGATATATAATTCTACTATCGATCCAAATTCATTAATCAAGTACTTTTCAAAAGCTGCTTGTGAATATGAACATAAAATCTAGTAGATAACAACAATCAGCACATTATTAACCCATTTGATCCAGATGCTCCACTGCCATCACATGGCCCAAGCCAATCTAACTAGCTTGTTGGCTGGGTGCATACGAACACTCATTTGTGCTGGCAATATCCTATGCCTTCCCTTTGCAAGAAGAGGATCCTGAGCATGGAAATAGTATCCTCCCTGAAGCCAGTGTTCTTCCAGTCATGGCTCACACATGGTACATTCCACACTCATTTATCAATGGAAATAATGCAAAAGCCCCTTCCTAAAGGAGTCTAATCACCCCCCAAGAACTTTGTGAACACATGGTGAGTCATTCCTGTCACCCTGGCCTTCAACCATAATGTTCACAATGGCAAGTTCACATTACCCCAGGCCACAGCCAAATTTTCCCCTAACATATTCACTTCACCTGTCCCTCAAGCCAAATCTTTTCATGATATGATGGTCACATGTTCTGGATTGTTGAGGTTAACAAAAGTAATATCATGTGAAAGAAAGACAAAATTAAACATTTACTCAGACTTCTCCTTCAGCTTGGCATCAGTTCTAACCTTAATCCATCAATCTCCTTCTGTACAGCTTGTTCTTTCCTTTCATACTCTTCTTTCTTCTCTGCAATCTTCTTGCGTTCATCTTCAACAACCTTGAGGAGTTTGGACAAAAGAGACTGAGCTTGTTGTTCACTGAATTCTTTAACACCCATAAATTCTGAAAAAAAAAGACATTCTTTAACCAAACCAGCATGGATGGCAAGAATACATGCCAAGCCCACTGTAATATATGCTTCTTTATTGTATTTACACATAGATGGATCTACAAGTGCTTCGTCACAAAGGAGTCAGTTATTCATCCTACCTATCTCATCTGTATATCCTTTTTCTTGATTTTTGGGAAGATTCTTTTGTGTTTTTTCATTGTCTTTAATGTTACCAAGATTTTAATAACAATATAATAATCATAATATCACAAAGAATAATAACAGTAACAATATCAACAGTATTAGGAAGAAAAAACATTTTACCACAATTTCAAGGAATGGGGAAATCAGGAGAGGTAACTAGGGGCTACTATAGACTCCTTGTTGGTTAAACATATGTGGAGCCATCTGTATGTAACAAAAATTCACAAAAAATACAGGGGATTGAACATAAATCCATAGTCATTGGATTAACCCATTTTGTGCAATATTATGTTCAAGGACTTTGTGGGCATTTCTTAAACCTTTTAAAAATTGGTAAAGCAATTTGTAAAACTGTTTCAGAAAACAGCAGCTTGTGTGGATGGCATTATTCAATCCTGAGAGGACCATCTTTAAAAATCAGCAAACAGCATATCTTTTCTAAATTACAGTGTTATCTACAGCTTAATCTTTCACTTTTCCTTTAACAGAACAAACAACCTTGATTCTTTTTTCATTGCTTCATCACAATCAGAGCAAATGCACACCACAAGAACAAGAGAAGACAAAAATAAGAGAAAACCAATCTGGCTACCTGTCAGGTCCACTGTTGCATGATAAGGAAAAACAAACTTTTCTCTTCCACCTAGGTGTGTGGGTACTGTGCTGAATCCTATTCTGTGGTTTAGCTGCACTCTAAGTTTTTTTTCCCCCGTTCATTGACAAAGTAGGATGGGTTTGTATTTTTTCTTGCTTTGTGTTCTTTCACCTTCTCCCTGTGTTTTTCTCCTTTTGTGCCCCCTTCTATTCTCTCCTGTCAACTCAATGAGGATGGAAGCTTTTGGGTGTCTGTATATAGGAGTGAGTTTCCCTCTCTTTCACTGCATGTGTTTCCTGATCTCTGTCTTTTTTTTTTACTACATTGCTGCCTTTATCTAAGGATAGGAGGATATGCTTTCTAAGCTGTTGCTGAGGGTAGGGGTGTAGCTAGGAAACACGAGGAGTGGTGTGAGTATCTATGTATTTAGGGAGAGGGAGGGAGGGAGGGAGGGAGGGAGGGAGGGAGGGAGGGAGGGAGGGAGGGAGGGAGGGAGGGAGGGAGGGAGGGAGGGAGGGAGGGAGGGAGGGAGGGAGGGAGGGAGGGAGGGAGGGAGGGAGGGAGGGAGGGAGGGAGGGAGGGAGGGAGGGAGGGAGGGAGGGAGGGAGGGAGGGAGGGAGGGAGGGAGGGAGGGAGGGAGGGAGGGAATGAATTGGGGTTGCTCTCTCACCAGCTAGACTTATTTTTCTCCTTTATGTTTGTACATGCTTCAGCATGTTTCATTTTGTTATGTCCTTTCCCTTCTGTTCCAGCTGTTCCCCTGCCTCTAATTGCCTGGGTAGGAGTAAAGGTAAGGAAATGCATTTTCTCCCATCCTCTTTTTTAACAAGGCTGCCCCCTCATTAGAGCCCAGGTATGCCCTATATAGTTGTCTTTTCCTGAAAACCAACTACAACAGCCATTCTTTGGGCTTCCAGCAGTCCACAGGCCTGACTGACACCATGGCAGAGCAGACAGCAGTGGAGGTGATGAGGCAAACACCAAACATCCCATCACTCTCTGGACCAAATAGTTCATGTTGAGCTATTATCACTTCATGCCATTCATCTTAGACAGAAAATAGTTTTCCACACATCAGGTGCCTCATTGTTGGGACAGGTAGCTATATCTAAACAATTAAACATTCATAACAAAGCAATGTCACATATTTCCAAATCTCTAAAGATTTTCACAATATGTTTACTTGTTGTGAAAACCTTGACTCTCCTTTTAAATGAAAACTAGCATTTACCTGCAAAGGAAAATTCCTTGGTAATGTTTGACATCCGTCTGTTTCGTTCCTTGATGTAATCCTGCTGCGTTTTGTAAGCTGCTTCATATTCCCCTCGAAGTCTTTCTGTCCTAGACATCTCAGCTTGATTCTTCTCCTTCTCTCTCTGAATGTTTTGCATCCGAGACATTACCTTCAAGTGAATATGGGAGCAATATTGTAATCAGTAAAATACTAAAAATATTGGAATGAAAACATAATGAAAATATGCAACAAAAACAAATAAAGGAGCACTTCATCCCTTCATTCATCACTTCTTTATTATTATGAAGGTACACATTAGGCAGAAAGAGTACTCTGTCAAAGTAGTTAATACAAAAATAATAATTTTCCACTATGAAGGTTGATGGCACAGGCAAAAACAGCTCTTTGACATTAAAGGTAATTGCCAATGTTGCTCACTGAATGCTTTCCCCTCCTCTCTGTTCTTACCCTTTTTCCAGAAATAATTCACCCTTCCAATAATTACCCTCCTTAACATAATGAGCGCAGATGGCAAGACTGCAGTGTCATGCCCACTGTAATAAAAATTTTATATATTGCCTTTACACATAGATGGCTCTACAAGTGATTAGTCACCAAGTAATCAGCTATTAGCCTTACCTATCTCATCTGTTTACCGTTTTCCTTCACTTTTTGAAAGCTTCACTTCTATTATTTTACTATCTTTGATATTATTAATACTCTAATAATTTAATAATCGTAATATCAGTAAGAATGATAACAATGTCAATATTAATGGTATTGGAAAGAAAAAAACATTTTTCCACTAATTCAAGGAATAGAAAAATCAGGATCAGTCACTAGGGCCAACTGATAGACTCATTGATGCTTAGCACACTTAGAGCCATCTGTATGTAACAAAACTCACTAAAATCTAAAGGGGACAGTAAATAAACCACTGACATTAGGTTAAGTAATCACCCTCCTTCCAATCTCAGACTAAGTCCCCCCCCCTACCTTTTCCTGTTCCTCTTCCATGCTCTCTAAGTTCCTCTGGAAATCCTGTATCATGCGGTACAGTTCCTCATCTGTACAGTCCAGTTGCTCCGAAAGAGTCGCCCGCAAGTCTGCCTGGCTCTGCCTTAGGGCTTCAAGTTTATGCTTCTCTCCAACTAAAAGGGAACAGAAAAGTATGCTTAAATAAAAGGGTTGGGTTTGTCAAACTTATGTTATCTGTGATATCTATTGCCATTTTTTATTTTTCCACTATTTTTTTATTAGCATTATTGGATATATCTAGTAAAGAAACTATAAAGGCATTTAGAAAAGAAATTTCACTCTGGCATGTGGGTAACACCCCAAAATATTCATCCCAAAGCACCATATGATTCTGCTCACAAAAATAACTAACTACATAACTATGTCCTTCCACAGGGTAAAGAAATTAATTGGAGAACCTTTAGAAGCATTTTTCTTTCCTATCTTAGTGTGGTTGTATCTCCTGGCATTCATATGAATAAAATCATCTAACAACTAAACAAGGCTAAGTATTTGTAGATCTACCACAAGAAAAGATAAAGAAAGAAAAGGTAATAAACATTAGGATACCATTCATTATCAAATTTAGAAAGGATAAAGAAACACAAATAAAGGGGAGGAGAGGAAATATGAAAACTGACTTTTGAATATACAAAAATGTTCTTACTCATACTCTAGAGCACATTTTTTATGCAGGGGGCTCTGTAGGGGATTGGAACATAGGAACCACACCCAAATCAAAATATTTAAAATGCATGTCTGGCTAATGAATGAACTTCTGAGGCACGTTCCAGTTTAACAGTGAAACTTACTCAGCTCTCCATTCAAACGGCCAACATTCTCTTCCAAGTCACAGATTTCCTTCAAACGTTCTCGAATTGGCTCCAGTTCTTCCTTCAGTTTACTCTTTTGAACCTTAATCTTATTCTGCTGCTCACAAGATGCCTTCAAGTCAAGACGCTTTCGGTTTGCCTCATCTCGCCACTTCTTGAGGCCGTCAATGACTTCATGCATGTTCTTCACCTCTGGAATATTCAAGCTTTAGGTAAGATTCTTTTTATTGTTCAGTAATATTAATGTTAACTATCCCAGTACTGATTACTTCTATTTTTGTTAAGCAAGATATATTGTCATCAAAGTATATGATATATATGTGCAGAATAATTCCCACAGCAATCAAAATCAACATTTAAAAGAACCATACAATACTTTTTATATTATCATATTTGCAAACCACATACACATTTGTCACAGGCAAGTATTTTCAAATAATAAACGAGTTACTTACTTGTTTTCATTTCTGCACGTAGCTTACGTATCGTATCAAGACATTTGATGTATTTGGTGGCATTGAATATGGCATCAAATTTTTCTTTCACTTTCTTACCTTCATCTAGAGGCCTGTGCACCAATGCAAGTATAAAACATTAGGTCTTCCTTAATTCTAATATCTGACTGTGTATTCTACCTATATGACATAATTTTGTGAAAAAAAATTGACAAAGTATATTCAGATATGTTATTACAAAAATTTGTTTCTTTTCCAAAAAGAAAAACATATCAATGTAAATGAACATTTCTAAGGAGTAGTAGCTGCAACCAATTTTTTTTTTTCTGATACATTTCTGATAAAGGTAAAAACAAAATGCATTAAATTTTTCTCTTGTGCTGTGAAGATGTTCATACTCATTCATACCTTTCTTAATTTTTTCACAATGAACTCTGTATAACTTTTCCATCTTACCAATTTGATTCCTCCTGGTGACAAAATATAACATTGTTCAGGATAGGTTTTGAAACACCCAAGGCATTTGATATTTCTGCTTCAAAGTCAGCACACTTACTGAAATCAATGAAGACAAATTAATCACAGACATAAGAATTGCAAAAGATAGCAAACTGAGGGCAAAAAGATCTGTGATATTTAAACAAAATACTAGAACTATAAAAAAAAGAGAAAAAAAAGTCACCTATTAGTTTCATTAATTCCATATATTTTCTATTATTGTTTTCAAAGCTATTAATAAACCCACAATCACAGAATATTCAGTGAAAGAGATTTAATAGAAACCACAGCTTATACATCAATGGTTATATTCATGGACATGGCCTTAATTGATTCAGAGTTCTATGAATATTTTATGCAACACTGAACATACTTACATAAAGTTTCAAGATCACTTTATCACATTATGAACTTACCCATCAACAAGCAATTCTCACAACACAGCACTTCATGAATTTCACACAGGATGATTTTCACTTAATGGTAACACAAAAAATTTACTCCATCAACTCCTCACCTAGATATAGCATCTGTACTGGCCCTCTCCACAGCAATCAAAATCAACATTTAAAAGAACCATACAATACTTTTTATATTATCATATTTGCAAACCACATACACGTTTGTCACAGGCAAGTATTTTCAAATAATAAACGAGTTACTTACTTGTTTTCATTTCTGCACGTAGCTTACGTATCGTATCAAGACATTTGATGTATTTGGTGGCATTGAATATGGCATCAAATTTTTCTTTCACTTTCTTACCTTCATCTAGAGGCCTGTGCACCAATGCAAGTATAAAACATTAGGTCTTCCTTAATTCTAATATCTGACTGTGTATTCTACCTACATGACATAATTTTGTGAAAAAAAATTTACAAAGTATATTCAGATATGTTATTACAAAAATTTGTTTCTTTTCCAAAAAGAAAAACATATCAATGTGAATGAACATTTCTAAGGAGTAGTAGCTGCAACCAATTTTTTTTTTCTGATACATTTCTGATAAAGGTAAAAACAAAATGCATTAAATTTTTCTCTTGTGCTGTGAAGATGTTCATACTCATTCATACCTTTCTTAATTTTATCACAATGAACTCTGTATAACTTTTCCATCTTACCAATTTGATTCCTCCTGGTGACAAAATATAACATTGTTCAGGATAGGTTTTGAAACACCCAAGGCATTTGATATTTCTGCTTCAAAGTCAGCACACTTACTGAAATCAATGAAGACAAATTAATCACAGACATAAGAATTGCAAAAGATAGCAAACTGAGGGCAAAAAGATCTGTGATATTTAAACAAAATACTAGAACTATAAAAAAAAGAGAAAAAAAAAGTCACATATTAGTTTCATTAATTCCATATATTTTCTATTATTGTTTTCAAAGCTATTAATAAACCCACAATCACAGAATATTCAGTGAAAGAGATTTAATAGAAACCACTGCTTATATATCAATGGTTATATTCAT